GCTGGTCCTCCGTGAGGGCCGTGCTGTTCTGGGGGCGGCACGAGAGGGCTGTGACCCGGCCGTGGGGATAACGACTCCCCTGGCAGGACCCAGGGGCTGCCACGCCGGGGAACATGCTCGGGGCCCCGCTGGCACGGCTCTGGGGGGATGGGGGTCTTCTCTGAGCTGTGCCCGCTGCAGTAAGATGTGCAGCCACGATGCTGTCCGAGGCCATTGTGACCACGAGGCCGGGCACGGACACCGGAGCGCTACCCTATTACAGGGTGGCTGGCACCAGATGGGGCTCAGCCCTGCCTCCCGACCTCGGGCACAGCTGGATGCACCTCTCCTCTCTGTGACACCGGGCCCACCCCGAGCCCCATGTGAGCATCGCGAGACCAGCCTGGTCCGAGCAGGGCTCAGACGGTCGCGTGCCCTGGGCTCGGGCGAGAGATCGCAATGCCCTGTCCCGCTACCCGGCTCACGCCCCATCACACCACGGCACACAGCGTGCTCGGTACCTTGTGCGCGCGGCGCATCCGGGCAAAGTAGGTTTCCCTTTGCTTAAAGGGAAGGAGAAAGACAGAGAAGGAGAGAACGGGGTTAGCGAGGACACGCAACCAGAGCCAGGAGCCCACCTGCGGCCGGCACGTCCCGGCCCAACCGCCGGCACAGGGAGGAAATCTCTTCCAGCTGGAGCCGAGGCAGCCCCCGCCCCCGCAGCAGATGTCGGCCCGAAGGGTCCCAGGGAGCCCACGCCCCAGACGCGCCGCACTGCCCCGCTGCGCAGCGAGGAGGGGAGGGGGCTGCAGCAGAGAGAGCCCCAGTCCTGGGGACCAAGTCTCCCCGGAGCTCCCTGCAGTGCCCAGACCTGCTGCCTCTGCACGTCCCATCTCCCTCTGGCCGGCGTGACCCCAAGTCCCCGCTCCCCGGCTGCTGCCATGCTCAGGGGCTAACGGCTGGGGCAGCTCCAGGGGGGAGGCGCGGAGCAGCAGGCGGCTGGGGATGAAACGGGCCCCCGGGAGCTGACCGGACCCAGTCCCCGAGGATCTCCAGGCAGACCATGGAGGTCCCTGTGGCTGGGCATTCAGGCCCCTGCCAGCCACCCGTTACATGTATCACGCAATTCACCAGTGAATCACGCAATAAATGCAGACCACCCACACGTGCCAAGCAACTGTCACACAATTCACGGGTCAATCGCACAAGAAACGTAGATTGGCCACACGTGCCAAATAATCGTTACACAATTCGCAGGTCAATCGTGCAATGAATGCAGACTGGCCACACGTACAAAGTAATTGTTACACAGCTCACGGGTGAATTGTGCAATAAATGTAGACCGGCCATAAAAAGGTCCATCCAGCTATAGAAAGAGCCAACCAGCTACAAAGCTAGTGCTTGAAAATGTGTAATAACTTTATAGCTGGTTTCAATCCAGCTTTCATTTGAATACGGGGCTGGGCCCTCTTTGCACACCCAGGAGTCAGAGCCGGGCACGCGGGGCCGGGCACGCAGAGCCGGGTCTCACCGCAGTCTGGGGTGGGGGGGTCCCTCGGATGGGGACTCAGGGACCGCAGGGTGAAGGGAAGCCGAGGATGGGGTGGGGGCGGAGGTCCCTGGTCACCCGGCCCAGGTGCTCTGCGCTGCATCCTAGCTGGCTTGGAGTCGCCAGGCTGGCTGCAGGGGTTGGCCTGGGTGGCTTCAGCTCTGCTGGCTGCCCACGTCCCTCTGAGGGCAGGTCCTAAGACCCCTTGCCTCTCCCAGGGAAGGGTCACTGCACCCCACAGACACTGGGGCAGGGCTTGGACCAACCCAGGAGCCCCAGACCAGCCCCCGGAGGGGCAGCAGAGGGGGCAGAGGGCAGCCCCTGTCCCCTGCGAGGAGGAGGGCAGCCCCGCTCCCTTCCCCAGAGGGTCACAAGGAGGGCCCTGGGCGCAGGCTTGGAGAGGAGGGGGAGGTGAGAGGTGAGAGATGGGGGAAGCACCAGAGCACCTAGCACTGGGCACCCGAAGGCAGATGTGCACGTGCTGCCCACGCTGGGTGTCCTCACACAGCACGTGGCCTGACACCACAGTGCATCCGGGCACTGCCAGAAGCCACAGAGAGGGGCAGGGGGATGCAGGAGCCCCCAGCCCGGGGCTGCACCCAGCCATACCTTGTCCCCCTGGTAGATCTCAGGCAGGTGCCAGTAGTAGGCCTCCTGGCCCATCTCCCCGAAGCGGCGGTAGGAGAGCCGGGCCCCCTCGCCAGATGCCTCCACCGTGAAGCCGGTCAAGATGCGAGTGCTGTGCTGGCGGTTGATCAGCGCGAAGCCCTGGAAGTTCCCGGGGGCGAAGGGCGTGCTGACCTGTGGGAAGAGATGCCCAAGCGGCCGTGAGTCCTGCTCAGGGCCCAGCTGTCAGGCTCCAGCGGGCAGCGGGACGCGGCATCTTACCAGGTCCCTGTAGGAGGAGGAGCTGGTGCACTGCTGCGTGACGCCCATGCAGAAGCAGGGCAGGCAGCCCTCGTGGCTCTCAGCGCTCAGGTGGAAGTGGCCGGCCCGGCAGCTGCTGCACGAGGGACCCTCCGCATTGGGCTGTGGGGAAAGGGGACAGCAGGGGTGAGCGCGTGGGCAGACGGGGCCAAGGGGAGCTCCTGGGAGAGCTGCAGAGGGGTCCCCCCAAGCAGGGCTCTTCTCCACCCCCAGCACAGAGGACGCAGGGGTGGGGAGCAGGTTGGGGAGCTTGGCGTCTCTCGGCGCATGTCACCCCTCCCCGCCTTACCTTGCACCGGCACTGCCCTCTGGCATCGCACTGCCGGCTCACGCTGCCCCGCGGGTCGCAGCGGCAGTCGCCCTTGGGGTCATCTGGCTCTGCAGCAGTGGGGCAGAAGGGCATCAGGGTGGGCAAGACAGAGGGGCTCTGCTCACCACCTCCCACGACACCTGCTGGGCGCAGACCCCGAGCCGGGCTCCCCCCAGCCCCCTGCCCGCTGCCCCCACTCACCTCGGCAGGGCTGTTCACGGCTGGGGGCCCCCACATAGCCAGGAGCACATCTGGGGGCAAGGGTCACACTCAGAGCTGCCCACTCGGGCATCTGCCCCTCCTGCCCCATGTGCTCTGCTCTCCTTTTCCTCCCGGACACACGTGGATCCCGCCAGGGGTTGGGCACGGGGCCAGGAAGGGGATCAGGTCACCCCCAGGTACTCTCCATTGCCTCCACCCCAAACTGACCCCAGAGGCCCTTCAAAACCAACAGAGGCTATTGCAGAGACACCCCGTTCAGCCTCACCAGAGACCCCAGAGCCGCCGTGAAAGAGCAGAGACCTTGCAACAGGGACCCGAGTGCCCCCGGGCACTGGGACGGGCGAGCGGGGACTCCCCCGCAGGTGCAAGGCTGGCGCAGAACCCAGCCCCCCATGTTACCTCTCGCACTGGCGCCCAACATATCCGGGGGCGCACGTGGTGCACGTGGGCTGCCCATCCGTGTCCAGGAAGCAGATCTTTGTGGCCCTGAGGAAGGAGGAGAGAGTCAATCGGTGCCCGGCTGTCCTCCCAGCCGGTGGAGAGAGGGCAGAGGATGCCACGAGGACAGAGGCTGCTGGGGGCACGTACTGGCTGGCAGAATAGGGCCCGTGGCACGGGCAGGGCTGGCAGTCTCTGGGCGTCCCCCGACGGGCATCGCCGTAGTAGCCCGGCTGGCAGCTCTCGCAGTGGGGCCCCTCCGTGTTGTGCTGGCAGCTCTGGGGGGAAGAGAGGAGGCGTCGGGTACAGACAGGTCCTGCCATGCCCTCAGCAGTTCCCCGACCCCCTGCTGCCCTCTGCAGAGTCCCTAATGCCCCCAGGGGCCGGCTCCGTGCTGGGACAGGCCCCACAAACCACGCCCCGCCAGCATGTCCCGGGTAGGTGCAGGCGACGTCCCCCGTAGCTCACCTGGCAGTCCCCGGTCTCAGCGTCGCAGTCGCTCGAGTGCCCGCTGCAGTCGCATTGCTCGCAGGTACCCAGGTAGAGGCCGCTGGTGGTGCGCGTGTAGCCCACGTCGCAGTCCTGGGGTTAACGGCACATAGCTCATCCCGTGCCCCACGGATGGGCAGGGTCTCAGCTGCCCCCAGGGCCAGGCAGGGGCCCGTCGGCCTCTGAGCGGGAACCCCTTGGCCTCTGCCAGCCATGGGCGTGCTGCTTCCGGGCATGGAGGGGACTTCCCTCCAGCCAGGGCTGAGCACGGACCATGCCTTGCGGCCACGGGGCTTGAGCTCCGCTGGCTCAGGCCAGTGTCTCCCAGGGCAAGGGGGTAAGAGCTGGGGAGCTGTGGGCATCCTGCTGCCTCTAGCACCTGGGTGCAGACTGACCCAGCAGGACTCGGGCACTTCCGTTGCACCGGGGGCTGAATGGGCTCCCCGATGGAGAGGTCAGCTGCAGCTCTAGCCATGCCAGCGCGACTGATAGCTCAGCCCCTCCGCCCCAGTATGTTTGGTGGGGAAAGGGGAGACAGTGCCCACTGACCTGGCAGGACGGGCCCCGGTAGCCAGTGGGGCAGGTGCACTCCTCCACCTCCAGTGCCTGTTCCAGGCCCGTGGAGTGGGGTACGGCCACATCCATGTGGATGTTGGAGATCCTGTCAGAGGGAAAACCACGGGGCAGGTCAGTACCCCCTGGACCTGGCTGCAGCCAAGCCAGTCCCATCACCTGCAGACTCCCCGGGGGTCTGGGCAGGTGCAACGTGCTCCCCTGCACATGGCCAGTGGGCTCAGACCAGCCTGCGCAGCGCAAGGGAGCACCCACACTCCCTGGAGCTGCGGGCAGGTCTCAGGGGGGTGCGAGAAGCCCAGCACCTGGCAGACCCAGACCCTGGGGGTGCCAGATGCCGGCTTGGTTTTGCCCACAGCACCAGCCAACATCCCTTCGCTCCTCCCTGTCAGCATCTAGGCCCCAGCTACCACCCAGGACAGCCCTCAACCTGCTCTGGCAGGACTAAAGAACAAAGCACAGGGGAAAGAGAGGGGCCATTAGTAGCCTTCCAGCTCTCAGAGCCCACCCCGAGGAGAGCAGGGGGCCTGGCTGCCTGGCTGTGAAGCATGTCTAGGCATGCATCGGTGTGCACATGCATGCATCTACGCATGTGTGTAAATGTGCATGCATATGTGTGCATGCCTGCTAGCCAGCATGCCTATGTGCATGTGCCTGCTCATGCCTCTGCGTACGCATGTGCCCGGGTGCAGCTGTGTGCATGTCCACACCGGCATGAGTGTGTGCACCGTGCGAGGCTGCTGCAGGACCCCGACTCTCAGCCAGGCAGACAGGACCCCTTGGCCTGTGGAAGCAGGCCTGGCTCCCACACACCCCGAGTGCCCCCAGGTCAGAGCCGAGTGCCATGTGGGTACCCACGGTACCTGCTGTCCGACGGCCGGTCCGTGTACGATGCCCGGATCATGAAGACGTTGATGTCGGCCAGTGCCATCAGCAGGTGTTCTCTCGTGGCGTCCTGCCCGTCTGCCCGCTGCCAGGCTCGCTACAGGAGGGCAGGTGGACACCTGTGTCAGCTTTGCCCCCCCAAATCTGCACCCACCCAGGCCTGAGCCATGGGGGGCTAGCAGCACCTGCACCCCCGGCTGGCAGGGCTTGTGCCTATTTCCAGCCCCAGGGGTGCACGGGGGCAGCCGGGCTCTCACCTCGCGGAAGGGCACAGTGATGGTGGTGGGGGTGCCTGGCGCGGGGCTGGCCTCAGCGAAGTGCTCCAGGAAGATGCCGTTGCCTTGCAAGAGCACGTCAGGCTGGCGGGGCAGCGGCTGGGAGCCCGGGAAGACGCTGTGCGTGACTGTGTAGCGCAGCTCCCCACCGTACGAGGTCACCTGCCGGCGCAGCGCGGGGTTCAGGCGGGCGGATGGATGGATGGACACGGCTCGGCCGGGACAGGGACTCACAGGGCCCAGCCCAGCCTCTCCCACAGCGCAACCCCAGCACCCACCTACCTCTAATGCACCCACTACACCTCCCAAGGCAGTTCAGCCCCTTCCCCTGATCTCTGAAGCCCTCTCCCAGCACTGCTCAATGCCCGCCGTGCCCTCGGCCAGAGTCTCCTCCATGCACTCGGTGCAGGGGGCTCTGGAGAAGGCCGTGCTCGCCCCAGGGGCCCCAGGACGGGGTGCACCTTGTCTCCCTTGAAGCGCTCGGGCAGGACCCAGTAGTAGACGTCGTGGGGCAGGGCGTGGAAGTCGGAGAAGGCCAGCTCGGACGGGCCGGAGAAGCGCAGGCCCTCGCTGACCGTGCGTGTGGTGGCCAGGTTGGAGAGGCTGAGCGGTGCCCGCTCGCTGTCCTCGTACACGGCTCGCACCTGGCACAGAGACCCAGCGGTCAGCCTGCGGCGGTGCCCCCCACCCTGCTCCGAGCTCGCTCGGAGACAGACCCAGGGTGCTGGGAGCCACGAGGCCTGGCACTGACCTGGTCCCTGCTCCAGGAGGAGCTGGCGCACTGCCGCGAGACGCCCATGCAGAAGCACTTCAGGCAGCCGTCGGGGTTGGTGTTACTCAGGTGGAAGGCCCCCGCCGCGCACTCATTACAGAGACGGCCTCTCACGTTGGGCTGTGGAAGAGATGCCCATGGCCCGTGGCCGGTCAGACAGCTCCCAGCCCTGGCCCCAGTGCCCTCCGTGCTGCTTGGGAGGGCAAAGCATGGCCTGGCACCCCAGCTGCCCTGGCCCCGGGGTCCTCTGCACTGCTTGGGAAGGCAAAGCATGGCCCAGCACCCCAGTCAGGGGCTGCAGCAACCGGTGCCCGCCTCATTGTGCCCGTCCTGGGTTCATCTGGGGCAACAGGACCGTACCTTGCAGAGGCAGGCGCCGCCGGAGGAGTCGCTGCTGCCCCGCTCGTCGCACTTCACAATCTCCTGGCCTGCGCGGGGGAAGGAGAGAGGAGTGCCTCAGTGCACAGATGGACAGATGGGTGGACGCCCCTCCCAGCGGGGACCCCCTGCCTTGCCTGGCAGACAGACACCCCCGTTCGCCGCGGCACTCACCGACTCTGGTGCACTTCCCGCCTGGCCGGATGGGGTTGCCTTCATAGCCCGGCGCGCACCTGCGGGGAGCGGACGAGGCGCAGACGGGTCAGACGCATCCCCGTGAGCTCCCCCGCCCGTCGCTGGGACTGACCCACCCCATGGCCGGCACCCCTGGCACTCACCTCTCGCAGCGCCGCCCGGTGTAGCCGGGAGCGCAGGCGTCGCACGTGGCCTGCCCGTCCGTGTCCAGGAAGCACGAGTCCGAGAACCTGCAGAGCATGTGGCGGACACGGTCACCCCAGCCCCAGCCGTGCCAAGGGGATGCCCAGTGCCAAGGGGATGCCAGGGAAGGGGCTCACCTGCGTCCAGGCTCAGTGTAGGGGCAGGGGCAGGGCCGGCAGGCTGTGGATGTGCCCCGGGTGGCATCTCCGAAGAAGCCGGGTTTGCACTTGTTGCATTGGGGCCCCTCCGTGTTGTGCTGGCAGTTCTGGGCAAGAGCAGAGGCACTGGCATGGCCGTGGCAGACAGGCACGGCCCCAGTCCGGCAGGACGGGACATTGAGACACCCCAGCCAGTGCCGGGCGGGGGGAGAGCAAGGCTGGGGTGCAGGCCCCTGTGCGCGAGCTGCACGCTCAGCACCCGCCCAGTCCAAAGGCCCAAGCAATGCCCAAGCTCTTGTACAGCTCCTCCCAGCACCACCCTGCCCCCCGCCAGCCCCCCGGGGGTCCGAAGCCACGGGGTCCTTACCAGGCAGTAGCTGAAGACCGGGTCGCAGGAGCTGGAGTGCCCGTGGCAGCTGCAGCCAGAGCAGGTGCCCAGGTAGGGGCCCTCGGCCACCCGCTTGAACTGGGCATCGCACCGCTCGCAGGACAGGCCCAAGTAGCCGGTGGGGCACCTACGGGAGAGCACGGGCTGCTGACAGCAGTGCAGGGAGCACCGGGGCTGGCTCCAGGCTCAGCACACTGCTGGCCCTGATCCTGCCATCCAGGTGCTGCACAAATCCTCCCCGGATAGGAGCAGTGAATGGCAGGGGAGTGGGCTGCTCTCTATAGGAGGATCCCCCCCAGAGCACCCTCCCTGGTGCCCCCCAAAGCAGCTCCCATCCCGGGAGGCACCTGCACTCCTCGACGCCGCGCGCCAGGCCCAGGCTGGTGACCTCGGTCGTGGTGGTGTCCATGACTATGTCACTCAGCCCCACGCTGGCCATCCTGTTGTCGTAGACGGTCTGCAGCAGCACGCTCTCCAGGCGCTGCAGGACGAGCAGCAGCTCTTCCCGGCTCACCGGTGCCCCCGACTCATGCACCCAGTTCTCCTGCAAAAGGCCGGCCGGGACGGGGGGTCATCGGCTCTGTGGAGCCCCCGGCACAGGCTGGGATGCTCCCCTCGGGCACTCGGCATGGCACAGAGAGCACCGAGGCAGCCCCGGTCTGTCCTACAAGGGTGCTGGGGGCAGCTGCCGTGCTAAGGAGCTCATCAGGGCAGAAGGTGCTCAGGGCATGGTGCTTGGACCCCCTTCTCCAGGCTGCAGAGCACCTGCCTGGCACAGAGCACGTGCCTGGCAGGTCCCCACTGAGATGCACTTTCACCCCCAGCAGCAGAGCAAGCCGCAGGGGAGGTGACGGCAGCATTGGGCGAGCACCCACGGAGCACAGGAGGGCAACTAGGCTCCCCGACCCCCCAGTGCCCCAGGAAGGAAGGGGACATGATGCCCCCCTGGGCAGACTTTGCCAGGCGCAGGGCACTGCTGGACCCACCTCCGTGAACTGCACGCGGCGCTGGTTGATGGCGGATGGCTGGGTGGGCACTCGTGCCCGGTAGATGAGCTTCTGCCCGTTGCCCACGATGATCACGTCGGGTTTCTGCACAGGCTCTGGCTGGCCGCGTGCCAACCCGTAGCGCACTTTGAAGGTCAGGAAGCCACCGTAGGAGTCCACCTGCCACGGCACCAGCTGAGATCAGAGCACCGCACACAGCCTGGGGCAGGCCCGCTGGGCATCCTTCCCTCCCACACGCCTCGGGCTTTGCCCCGAGCTGCCGGGCACTCTGGAAACCAGGCTCCTCAGCCTGGTGCAGTATGTCATTAAAAGCTGGCACTCGTGGCCACCAGAGATGTGGGAGCTCACCCAGGTCCACCAAGGGACCAGACCTGTGCGTGGAGGAAAGGGGCATTGGTTGCTATTGAGCACAGGAGAGAGAAGCATGGCTTCTGAATCAGAGTTTCCCAGACCTTAAATACTGGAGGCTGCAAGGGGCAGAGGAGCAGGAGGGAAAACCCTGGCCAGACCCAGACGTGCTGCATGACACCAGAACCTGGACAAGGGCAGCTCTTCCATTCTTATCATGTTCCAACCCAGGCTCCACGCCGGCGGCCCCTCACCATGCCTGGCCCATCACCTTGTTGCCCAGGAATTGGGCAGGCAGTGTCCAGAAGGATTCGTGTGCCAGGAACCGGCGGGACAGGTCGACCAGCTGGAACTCCTGCAGCGCGGGGTCAATCTGCAGCTGCGTGGAGGACAGGGGCAGCATCCCGGGCAGCACCGGGTTCGTCACGTTCACACCTGGCCGGGGAAGCGAGGTGGGAGGAAAGGCTCAGGTGCCCACTGCGGTGCCCCGGCTCCCGTCAGGTCTCCTGCCCCTCCCGCCCCAGGGATTCAGACTCCGAGCGGAGCTGGAGGTGATAAGACCCCCCTGGCTGACTCCCAATGGCCGGTGTCTTGGTCCCGGCTGCATCTGCCTTGCCTGGCCCTTGCAAACCTGCCTCTCCCAGGGCTCGGGGAGCTGCCCAGCCCCATCTGCCAGGACTGGACCCCATGCCATCTATCCCTGCTCACCCTTGAAGTCCTCGGGCCTGTCGAAGCGAAGGTGGATCTGGTGGCGGTAGCGGCCGGTGCTCCGGCACGCCTTGGTGATGCCGAAGCAGAAGCAGGGCAGGCACTTGGATGTGCCCTCAATGTGGAAGTGGCCCTCGGAGCAGGGGCCTGCGGGTGGTGCGGAGACGTCAGCCGCGAGCAGCGCTGGCACCATCCCAGCCGGGCAGGGGGATGCCCCGGGTGGGCACAAGCAGGGAACCCGCCATGGGTTGGGAACACCACCCCTGGGCTCGGAGCTGTGCCAGACTCACCACGCTGGGGCGTGAGGCTGAGCACGCCGTCAGGGATGCCGAACACCATGCCGCGGGCGTTGATGGCCTCGCAGGTGTAGGCGCCCTGGTCAGCCTCCTTCACATCCCGGATGATCAGTGTCCCGCGTCCCTTCTCGCTTGAGATAGACACTCTGGGGAGGTTGGAGGGTGGTCTGAGTGCCGGGGGGTCCTGCCGATGGCCCCGGGCACGGGCCCAGCCCGGCCACTGCACTGCAACCCGCTGTAGATCTGCTCCCACACTGCAAACCCAGCACAGAGCCCCTCCCACACTGCAACACTCCCCAGCACTGCAATGTTACTGCACAGCCCGTCCACATGGCAGCAGTGATGGGAAAGGTCCACCACCTCTGCATGCTGCAGAGCTTCCCCTCCTAACCCCACTGGCTGGGAGCACTGGACCCACCTCCTGCCGGCGGGGATGTGCCCCCAGTTGAGCCTCCAGGTGATGATGGGCGTGGGGACGCCGATGGCCACGCAGGTGAAGCGCACCGTCTGGCCGGGGAAGGCCTGGATGGACTCCTCAGGGGGTGTGATCACCTGGGGGGGTGCTGGGGGTGGACCGAGGGGTGAGGAGGGCTCCCCTATGGCACCCCCAAACCAGGGAAGCAGACACGGCTTCCCCCAGCCCCTCATGGACGGCAAGGACCTGCCACCCTCCACCCACAGCCAGGACCCCCACTCACTGCAGCCAAACTCGTCGGAGCGATCGGGGCAGTCGACCTCCTCGTCGCAGTGGTAGCTGGCAGGGATGCATGTGTGGTTGGACACGCAAGTGAACTGGTTGGGGCCGCAGGTGTCACCGGGGGCCTTGGTGGCTGCAGGGACAGAAGCGTTAGCGGGCAGGGGCAGCACCACACGGCATTGCCCCCGGGTCCCCAACACCCCCTGCCTTGCACATGCAGCAGCACAATGCCACCTCCTCCAGCGTTGGCAGGAAAGAGGCCAATCTGGCCAGCACAAGTCTGAGACCAGCTGTGCAGCTGCAGTGCAGTGGGGCTGCAGCGCAGAAGGGGCTCTGTGGTTGCAGTGCAGTGGGGCTGCAGACCTGGAGCAGCTCTGTAGCAGGGCTGCAGTACAGTGGATTGCAGTGGGGAACGGGCTCTGCATTGCAGCAGGGCTGCAGTGCAGCAGGGTGGCTGCTACCAAGCGAGTGGGCAGGGTGGCTGGCCTGGCACTGCAGTACGGGGACAGTGGCATCCTACTATGCGGCCCCAGGCTCCAGCAGCTCCATCGTCCCTTGGGCGCCCCGTGACCCCCCCGCTGCCCGGAGCCGATGGCCAGGTGCACTCACGGCAGCCCATCTCGTCAGAGCCGTCCCCGCAGTCGTTGTCGCCATCGCACAGCCACAGCTGGAGGGCGCAGTACCCGTTCCGGCACTTGAACTCGTTGGGCTCGCACGGGCTGGGGGTGCCTGTGAACGAGACGGGAGGGGGGGTTTACAAAGAGTTTAGATGATGGCTTTAGGGTTTGGACAGGGCTGATCCTGCTTCAGGCAGGGGTTGCACTAGATGTGCCCTCTGCAGCTCCTTGCAGCCCTGCTTCTCTCTGCTATTTCCAGCTGCCCCTCCTGCCAGGACCCTCCAGGCCCCATTCCCGCCTGCCCCGTGGTCTGTGCCCTCCTGCCCCGTGCCACGCAGCCTCACCGCATTTCCGCTCGTCGCTCCCGTCAGCGCAATCCTCTTCGCCATCGCACAGGTAGTCTTGGGGGATGCACTGCTTGTTGGTGCACATGACTTCGTCCCGGCGGCAGGGGCGTTGCTCCACAGGGTGCTGCCCCGAGGGGCCGGTGGGGCGGAAGTGGCCAGGAAAGGGGGTCACTGGCCGCCGCGTGGTGACTGTGGGTGTGGTGGGGGTGGCGGTGGTGGCTGGCATCCGAGTGGTCACCGGCCGGGCCGCGGTGGTGATCGGCAGGGGCAGCGTCACGGGCTCCCATTCTGTGGGCAGATGGACCCCAGGAGCATTAGGAGCTGCAGCCCAGCCCCGGAAACCCAAGCAGCATCACTGGGCATGCCAGGAGCTCGGGCACACAGGGCACCAGCTCAGCCTCCGGTGCAGCCTGACGGTGCCCTGGCAAGGGATCTGGGGGACTTTGCTAGCACCAGGGTGCATGCGCTCTGTTCCTGCAGGGACCCCCACCCTGGAGCCCCAGTCCAGCATGTGCCCAGCTGGGAATCCCCAAGACCTTCCAGAGATGGGCCATGGCAGGTTCTGCTCCCAGCTCTTGCCTGGGCCTCCCCCTGCCTCAGTTTCCCCATCCTGGTGGGGTGCGGGAGCCACTTGCGGCTCCCGTGGGGAGCTGTGGTCTCGGGGAGGGAAGGCGCACCCCCAAGGCGCTCACCGCAGTTCTCCTCGTCCGACATGTCGCGGCAGTCGGGGCGGCGGTCGCAGCGGAAGTCGCGTTCCACACACTCCCCGCTGCGGCAGGTGAACTCCTCGCTCGTGCAGGCTCGCACGGCCGGCGGCATCACTGCAACAGGGCCCGAGTCAGAGCCAGGCCTGGCCCCTTTCTGCCCGGCTCCCAGAGCCTGCTGGACACCCCTCACCTCTGTGGCTGCAGCCCTCCCCCAGGGCTGTGTGTGCCCCGTGCCCTGCCCCTCGGTCCCAAGTCACAGCACGGTCAGGAAACACACACTGCACACACTCAGGCAGCAGGAACATGTGACACAGCACGCCAGCCTGGCCACACGCATGCCACAGGACTTGCCAGGGGCATGCATCAGACAGCACGCAGCACGAGACGCGCGTGCGGGCGCACATGCACAGCACGCATGCCAGGCGGCAGAGAGGCCGTCTGTCTGCCGCGGCGAGAGTCCAGCACAAAGGACCCTGGTGCCAAGCACTCTCCAGCTGCAGAGCCAAGATCTGCAGGGTGCAAGGCAACCGCCCCGCGTACACTCACGGCACAGCACGGCACAGGCAGACCGGGGGGAACCTGGAGCCTGCTGCTCGCCCATGGGGGCATGGGACAGAGGGGAGCTGGCCTGCACATCTGGAGCTGGCTGAGAACAGCTGGCAGCCGTTGGGGAGGGAGCCCTGGGCTACCGCGGGCACAGCTGGCATGGGCAGGGCCCAGGGAAATGTCACGCTGCAGACACTGCTGTCTCCAGCGGTTTGTACCAGGATCAGGGCCTGAGGCTCTCTCAGGCTGGCAGGGGCATGCCCCGAGCTGCAGCCCGGAGGGAGCGGGGTCCCGGCCAAGCCCAGGCTCCAGCTTCCCCCACACGTGGTCCGCTTTCACCCCGACTCACCCGGGGGCTCCACAGACACGGGGGGAGGAGGCCTTTCAGCTGCAAGTGAACAGAGGGGGCTCAGGCCAGCGGGACTCCCTGGCTCAGCCCAGCACTAGCCAGAAAGCAGCTCCCCAGACCACACGTGCCCTTTGTTCTGCGCCCGACTACCAGCCGGGCAGCTGCAGCGATGCCGTCCTGCATTGCATCTCCACCCTGCAGGCTGGCGAGAGCCTGATGCTGCGACGCAGCAGGCCCACACGCCACCTGGAGCCGACCTCCGCTTGGTGCCCTCCGGGTATCCCGACAGGGCCACTACCCTGGGCACCCCCTGCTCACCTTCCCCGAGGCGCCGAAACTGGAAGCCCTCGGTGGAGGTGACGTAGGAGGCGATGGAGCCGGCCTGGATGACCGAGTAGAGCACTTGGCGGATCTCCCCGTCGTCCATGTTGCCCTCCGAGCCCACGTCCAGCTCCACGAAGATGTAGTCGTCTATCTCCCTGGCAGAGCGGGTGGGAGTGAAGGGGCGTGCATGCACCCATGTACATGCCCTGCCCCTATGCCGGAGCTGAAACGCCCTGATTCCTGCCGGGGCTGGATGCCCTCTGGGCAGCGTGGGCCTGTCCCAGCTCTGGGGCAGGGCCCACGACTGGTGCTGGGGCTTGTTGGAGGGGTTGCGGGTGGCTTCTCTGCACCCAGAGGCTGTCGGAGATGCATGCCCCCCACCCAGAGAGAAGCAGGGGGCTTCCCCAGTCCCCAAGCCCCGGCCCCGACTCACTTGATGAGCACCACGCTGACCACCTGCTCCCCGGAGATCTTGTAGTACTCGGACTCCAGCTGGGAGAGCAGGAGACAGCGTCAGGGGTCTGTGCCCACCATGCCCCAGATGGCCCCGAGGGCACTAAGTGGAGCTATGGCCTCCCCCCATCCCACCCGGCCACGGAAAGCTGAGTCCTGCATGCCCCGACAGGCTTCCTCCGCATGTCTGAGGGCTCCGGGAAAGGCGGCCACAAACCCCCTTAGCAAGGGCAGCCCCGGGGCGGGCACCCTGCGGCTCCTCAAACGAGAGGGCAGACAAACCCGGTGTGGGGCCGGGGCTCACCGTGTCCACCACCGCCTCCGAGACCTCCTGGAAGGTGCTTGAGTTGGCATCATCCAGCGCCGGGCTGTAGTCGATGCTGCGGGTGAAGTTCACCAGCGCACGGTAGTAGACTGGCAAGGAGGGGGAGAGATGCTGTCAGTGCAAGTGCAAGGCACTGGGGCTCACCCCCGCCAGCCTCGACATGGCGTGGCTGTCACACTGCAGCCGTTTAGGACAGAAAGTGAGGGGAAACGCCGCGGCCAACGGGGACCAGTGGGGCAATGGGAAGCTGGGTTAGTGCCAGCTGAGACAACAGCTGCTATTATAGTCTGTAATGACCCAGGGGCATGCAGGGTGTTCACGGGCACCCCCCACAGATCAGTGCTCGTGGGGATCGTGGCTGTGAGGCTCAGCAGCAGTGGCGTGGCGTGCCCACTGCCCACCCATGGCCAATGCAAGCGGATGAGAGCGGTCATTCCCTGCCCCCGGATGCAATGCCCAGTTCAGGTCTCACCAGGCTGGAGGGGCAGCCCAGACCCAGTGCCTGCAGCTGGGAGCAGCCCGGGGGCAGCCGGCGGACCCCACCCCCGACTTTCACACACGCCCAGTGCCAGGACAGCCCCAGCTGGGAGCCGCGGCCCCTCTCCAACAGCTGCAAGGGGGGAACAGCGTGGACAGCGCTTGGCTCCGTGCCTCCCATCTCCCGGCGGACGGAGCCGGCACCTGGGCTGGGAACGGCGCCGGGAGCCCCCAGCCGGAGCAGTCTCCGCCGGCGCAAGGGTGCACGGCCCAGGACCGCAAACACACTGCGACCCACCTCCCCGGCCAGCACGGACGCCCCAGGCACGGGGAGCTGCGGCCAGGGGCTCGTCCCCGGGGCCTCAGGCGGCTGCTGGCGCGTGGCCCCCGCCTCGTGCATTCCAGGAATTCCTCCTCCGCTCACAGCCAAGCCCTTTCTGGGGGTGGGCTGCAGCGAGCCGCCCGCGGGGAGGCCGGGGCGGTGCCAGGCTCCCCGCTTGCAGAGCTAGGGCTTGCGTCCTGGGGTGCCCCAGCAGCGCCCCCGCTCCAGGGACCCGGGGAACACAGGGGCACTTGTGAGGCTGGACAAAGGGCCCCTTGAGAGCAGCATCCCAGGGCTTGGCCCTGAGATCTCGGGGCAGGGCTGCGTGGCTCACCCCCAAAGAATGCGGCCCAGCGGCCCCCATGAAACGGGCTCTTGTAGACACCAGCTCCTGCTACAAAGCCTCTTTCTTGCTCCCGAGCTGCAGCCATGCACGGAGGGCCTGGACGGGGGTGGCCGCTTGGAAGCGGTGACCCCCAAGCCAGAGCTCTGCCCTCCAGCCCCTCACTCTGGACTCGGGCCAGCACGACCTCTCCAGTTGGGGAGCGCATTCCCTGCAGGTCCTGGGGCTGGCGGATGGGGAGAAGGCGGCACCGGGGCACTAGGACAGTGCCCTGCTTGGGTGCCAGCAGGACCTGGTTGCCCGGACCTTGCCCTCTGTGCACACACATCCCTCGTCCCAGCTCACCAGCACCCAGGCCCAAGGGACCTGCAGATGGCCGCTTGCACCTGCTGTGGCCTGGCGCACGCCCCGTGCATACGTGCACACATGGGATGAGGGCTCATGCGCCAAAGTAGGCGTGTGCATTCGTGTGCAAGGTAATGATGCAGCACAGCTTGTGCCTGCCCCATGCCACGTTCCCTGCATTGCACGTGCAATGTCCCATGCCTGCCACGGTTGCAAGCCGTGGCCCTGAGCTCCGTCTCTGCTCAGAGCTGGGCCCGGCTGCAGGAAGCCCAGCCTGTTCCAGGACGTCCCAAGCAGCCACTCTGCCTCCTTTTAAGGAGCCCTTGGGGCTCGGTCTTGTTTTGTTAGCAATTGGCTGGGGAAGGAGATGGAAAAACACTCCAGGCTGCAGAACAATTGCATAGGGCTTTGGACTTTCCGCCGTGCATCCGGCCAGCTGAGTCACCTCTCCGGCACGCTCACTGCAGGACAGGCCTGAGAGCCCCTGGATCCCGGTCACCTGGCAAACACCCCTGGGAACCACCCTGAACGCAGCACCTGAGCACGGGCCCCTCGGCAAAAGTACACCTGCTGCAGCTCCAGCCCTGCTCGCTGATCGGGGCCGTGACAGGCTCAGCAGCTCTCGACCCGGCTAGACTCTCGTCCCCCTCGGAAAGGGCCGGCACTCAGCTTTCGCTCATGTTTGGACTATGCAAAAAGGCTACTGTAATGGCTCTGGTTGCAATGAACTCAGGGAGCCCCCGCGGTGGTGATGCTCTGGATGCCTGGTTGAAATCCCTGCATTTCCCCTGGAAGCTGCCTAACATTGCACACCTCATGAGTCCCCGGGTGAGAATAGCTGCTCCAGAGACAGCCCTGTTTGCAGCAGAGGGGCGAAGGCCCACGAGGCACAACACCGAGCTCCTAGTGCTGTAGCTCCCTAGACTCAAAGGTCCCTTCCCCAGCTGGTTCCCAAACCTGGTCTTCCAGGAGGAGCACCAGGGGCTGGAGAGCGGGAGGGTCTGGCTGCCTCGCAGCCCTGCAGGAGAGCACCCCGAGCCGCGCGGGACAGCCCCGTGCGGTCCACGCGTCCCTTGCTGAGTCACGAGACGTGGCTGCGGCTCGGTGCCCAGCACCTGTTTCCTTCCTGCCTGGACAAACACGGGGAAGACACGGGCCTAAGAAGGGGACGTTTATGCTGCCGTCCCTGGGCGACGGCGCTGCCTCTGCCTGCGTCAGGTCTCAGCGTGTCCTGGGGACTCGCGCAGCATCTGCGGAGCCCACCAAGCGCTTCCCCCTTCCCTGCGTGGTGCCAGAGGGCAGCGAGCAAACGGCCTTGCAAATCTGACTCTCTTCCAGAGCTGCCTGCCCTGCACCTGCAGGGAGCCTGTGACGGGGAGGAGGGCACTGCCAGGATGGGTGATCACGACAGGGGCTACAACCCCCCGAAGATGCCCTGAGGCCACTGAGGCAGCAGCACGGGGGTGCAGGGCTCCTCTGCACGTGGCCCCGGGCCCGGGCTGACATCAGCGAGCTGGAGGGAGTTCAGGGATGAGCCATAAACCCGAGGAAGGTGCTGGAGGCATCGACTTATAAGGAGAGAGGAGAGGAGCGGAGCCCGCCTGTGCTCAGGGAGCCCCCGCGCCAGCCGGGCTGCCCGGGGCCACGATGGCACCAGTGCAGGACCCGGGCTGCAGAGAGGGAAGCTCCCTGCCTTGTCCCTCCCGCCCTGCTCTTCTGTGGGGCTGGGCTCCCCCGGAGGACTGCATATCCCATGATGCACCACGGCTAGCCCCCCGCCCCCCCACCCGGGGGGTGTACCAGTCGCTTTGTGCAGTGGATCACAAAGGAGAGGAGCAGGGGTGCACGAGGGACCACACGGTGACTCCCCGAATGCATGCGGCACCCTTGACAAGTGGGTGATGCTGGCAAGCAAACTTTTGTCCAAAAAGTGAAAGTTCTGCATGGAAAAGAACCAGCTGCAGCACAGCCCACGTCTACCCCCACCTGCTCCAAGACTGCCCACTTCTGCCCCGGTCCGTAGCCTCCATGCCCACACCACTGCCACGGGCACCGCAGAGCTTCTCCCTTCACTTACTGAGAGGGGCATCGTCGTCCGGTTCAGAGACAGTCATCCCTGCTAGTGGGGGCAGCCCCGCCGGAGGGGGGACCGCCGCTGATGGGGAGGGAGATGAGGGGACAGAGAGGGACAGGACAGGAAAGGAAAGAGAAAGGTTTGCAGTTACCAAGAGAGAAACAGCAGCAATGGCTGCGAGAGCTCAGAGCTGGAGTTGTCGGCCCCGCAAAGGCGGCATGCAGAAAGAGAGGAGACAGGTAAGAGGAAAGGGGTCCCGACCCCACAAGAGCACCCCCCCGGGCAGTGCCAGACCGCCCCCCACACCATGGCAGTAGCTGCCCCGACTGCCCTGCACAAAGCCGAGCTCCCCCCGGACAGGGCGGCACATCGGCCATGGGAGACGTGGGCACAGAGCCAGCCTAGGGATGGGTTTCCACAGGGCCTGGTGCAGGGATGGGTGCAGCACGGTCCCCTGACCCCATGCCCAGAGTCTCACACACCTGCCCCCCATGTTATCCCGACCCTGCACACAGAGTCCCCTGCACCCCAGCCCTCCACTGCTGCATCCTGACCCACCTCCCCATTGCTCCCCATTGCTCCCAGGCCCTAGAGAAGACGTGGACACGGTTGGGGACTCTAATGAGTGCAGCCTGGTCCAGCTCCATGGCTTGCAGGAAGCGTCGGTGGCTGGAGCAGCTCCCACTGCCTGTACTGCGTGGGGGCGGCTGGTGTGGGAATCTGTCCCTGGCACAGCTTCACCCACCGCCTTTCCCAAGCTGCTGCCCTGGCTAGCTCCCATGGATGGGGCTAGGTCATACTGAATGCTCAAGTTCAAGGCCAGGCAATGCACTTCCAGACATCATCCCAGCAACCAGCGGCTAAGACCTACTCTGCTGGATGCTAAGTAGGACAGAGATGCCCGCCCCGTGGCCAGGCCCCGGGTGCAACCACGAGCATCTGCAGTGCGTACATAGGTGCAGCCCCGGCCCCACAAGAGGCATTCCCCGACGCTGGTGTGTGCCCGGGCAGGTGTGCATGCCCCAGCCAGCTCTCCAGAGGACACGGCTCCTCCCGCCCAGTCCGAGATGTTCTCTCCAGACGGCCGCAGGCACCGGGCACTGGTCCCAGGCTGGCAGGGCCCCCGCCGGGAGCCTCAGCCATGCTGGCCACAGCAATGCTGCCTCTTGCCGTGGCCAGACCGGACGGGCTCGGCCTCGCCAGGATCCCAGGACACTCGGTGGAGGCCATGGCTCAGGCTGGGCACGCTTTGGGAAGTCAGAACTAGCCCCCATACTCTCACTGCCTGCCCCGTTGCCTCCGTAAGTGGCCTCTGGGTTCACGTTCGCAGCTCGCCCCTTACCTGTGGGGAAGAACATGACTTCGGGCTGCATGGTGACGAAGGGCAGCGCGCTCGGGAAGGGAGTCCCGCTGCCGTTCTCCCCGCTGCCATTGCCGTCTGAAAGGGAAGCAGACGGGCAGCGTGAGCAGGGGCTGGGGCCAGCCTGGTGCATTGTGAGTATAAGAGCTGCCGTGGAGTGGGTCAAAGCACAGACTGGTCTCTGGTATCACACAGTGGAGGCTGAGAGGGAGCGGGACTGGGTCTGATCAGGGTTTTTTCCCCTGTCCCTTGCAACCTCCAGCATTCAAGGTCTGATGCAGAGGCCGTGCGCCTCACTCCCCTACTCCACGGCTCCCGATGCCCCTTTCCTCCAAGCCCGTGTGCCAGCCCGTGGTGAATCTGGTGGCACGCTCAGCTTCCTCCATGCGGGGTGCCCATGAGCTCCACCCTTGAATTCAATTCCCCGCTGGGTGACAAATGAATTTCCTCGTGCTTATTTTAAACTGCCTGCCTGCTGCTTCCACGGACTGACCCCTCGTCCTGGTCGTCATAAATCCCAAGGGACTTCTCTTTGCCATTTAGTACGTTGTAAACCCTGATCCTGTCCCTCCTGAACAGGCCCCTTCCATCTCTCCTCAGGTGGAGGCCCCCCCACATGCCTTGTTGCCCGTCTCTGGATCATCTCTAGTTCCCCATCTCCCTTTGGGATGTGCGGGGACCAGAGCTGGGCATGGTACTCAAGGTGTGGATGTGCCATGGGTGTATAAAGGGGCACAATGATGCTTTCTGGCACTGGGATGTGTGCTGTTGTTCCCGCTTGCTGATGGGCCGAGCCAGGTTCCCGGAGGCCTTGGGGAACGAGTGGAGTTGGGTGGAAAATGCATCCCATGTTCCCTCTGCTATTTCCATCAGCGAGAGGGCCGCTGGCCTCTCCCCAGGCAGGCAGCGCCCTGGTGTAGAGGGCTCTCCTCTGCCGAGTGTCCCCGTGGGGACATTACCTCCCGAGGCCTCATCCGCCACCAGGTCCTCGTCGTCAGAGAGGTCGGTGTAGCTCCACCTGCGCCTGCCTGCATGGTCAGACTCTGTGTCCTCGGGGAAGGAGGCATCATCCAGCGTCCTGGCCGCGTGGGCCACCTGCCGGAGAGAAGTCCAGAGAGTGTCAGCTTTCCTCCTCACCACCCAGGTCAGAGCAGCCTCGAGGGGGCAGCTCGGCCGCCGTGCCCAGCACAGCAGGACAAGGGAAACCCTCCCATGGGCCACAGTGAGGCCTCCCCTTCCTGCACCAGTCGTGCATCTGCACTGGGCACTGGCTGCACTGGCCCCATAACACTGCAGGGCAGGGGCAGGTCAGGGCCAGGGTCAGCGGTAGCAGCTGCTAAGCAGGTCTCAGCCCTGAAGCACGGCAGACGCATGGCCTCTTGCAATGAAGCATGCGTGTATCTGGCTCCAGGGCAGCAGCTGCCCTTTTATAGCCTGACGTTGGGCCCTATGTCTTTGGAGCAGGGCACGGCAAGCAGGAGGCAGAAATCTCCCATCTCTCCCTTGCATGTGATGGAGGCACTGGTGCTAAGAGGCATCCAGTGGGGAAAGCATCCAGGGAGGGAGAGAGGCGCTTGCATGGGGCTGGGGGCAGCTAGCCTGGGCCCCGGCGTTGCAGGAGCCCAGCTGGAAAGCACAGCTGCCGTCCGGCTGGGCTCAGGGGATGAGTGTGCGAGCCTGGCTCAGACCGTCCTGTCAGCCTGGGGGTTTGGCACTGGGTGCGCTGCTTACTGCATGGGCACAGCCGTCACAACCACGGCCCCCTGCCCCATGGCTGGAGCTCCAGCTGCTGGGACAGGGCACGGCTGCAATGGGACACCACAGAGGAGAGGGGGAAACAACTCGTGGCAGGGGAGGATGGGGATGGGGGTCTTTTCCAACCAGGCTGGACGGAGCAAGAGGAGAGCCGGGCACAACGGAGCTTCCCTGGTGCTGCGACGTGAGCAGCTCCACCACGTCCACGGTGCTTAGCATTGGTCTCTGCATGCCGCCTGCCTGGCTAGCGACACCAGAGCTGGTCCCGTCCCCTCCCTGGCCTACCTCCCTCCTGCCAGCGCAGCCTGGTGTTCGCAGCACGGCTCCTGGCCAGGGCCTGCCCCGCATAACTCAGCCGTCAAGTCATCCCCGGCTGGGCTGGCCTGGGGGAGACGGGCAGCGGCAGTGAGCTCATCTCCCCGCAGCCGCCCACCTCGCGTTCTTGGGAACCGGGGAGATGGGGTCAGCGCGGCCGCGAGCTGCCAGCGCAGGCAGGAAGGAGGCGGTAGCTTCCCCGCAATCCTCCGGGGCTGGAGCTGTACACTCGCAGCTGACCCGTGCACTGGGGCCAGCTCGTGGAGCAAGCCAAGGACAGGGGGACCAACCCCCCCAGCCACAGCTGGACGATGCACAGCTGGTCGCACCCAGGAATGGAGCATCTTCAGCCCCAGCCCCGGGCACCCCAATGCCTCTGAGCTCCCCCCACCTAGGGCAGCTGCTCGCCTGGGCATTGAGGCCGGCAGCAGGGGGCAAATCCCCTCCTGATGCAAGGTTTGGTCCCAGCCCTTTGGGAGCCAGAGGATCCATGCGGATGGCTGCACTGAGCCCAGAAGGAGTGGCTGGGCATGGATGCACATGCACATACGTGTGCACACATACACACATGCATGCAAACACACGGACATGCTGCACAGTTCCTGGTGCCGGCATAGTCTCTCCATCCCAAGCTACTCTGAGAGGACACGGGGCTCTCTCCGTTCCCACCCCGACCCCAGCTCAGAGAAACCCAGCCCCTTCCCACCCCATCACGGTGTTGCATGCAGGAGACCTCGGAGCTGGTCCACTTTCCTGCTTGTTTCTCTGGCCGGTGATGGAGGGGCTACTTTGTGCCTCCGCCTTTCACAGAGACTGCTTTTCTCCCAAGTGTTCGTTGGACATGGGAGTTACACAGTCGGGTTAAGAGCCCACTCCCCTCTGCCAGACAACCAGGCACGGGCTGGGGGAAATGCCCAGCTCCTGCAGCACAAAGGGCACGAGTCAGCTGCTTTTCCCCCTTTGAACCCTCCTGTGTCAATGCACCGAGAGCACTCGCGCATCAGGCCCCTGGCCTCCAGGGCATGCGACCAGCCCCGTCTGCGCAGGGTACCCCTCTTCGGCCACTTCCCAAGATAAACTTCGCCCCGAGCTCCAAGGTATCTGCAGCTATCCAGACCCCAGCAGGGCTTCCCCCAGCCATCCAGGCGTGCCCTGACACTCGGGCTCCCTGTACTGCAACGAGCCCGGCCCCTGAGCCTGCCTGGGGTCCCAAGTGGCTCCACCCCAGAGGTGGCTGCATTTCCAGATGTGTGTCCATGCACAGAGCAACTCGGTTGGCCCCAGGGGAGGGATGGCAACGGCCTGATCTGGACAGCCTCAGTGCTGCTCCCTGTTCTGGCTGTGGGGGAGACCCAGAGGGGATCGGCGGGAAAGGGCAAAGGGCCCCCATGCAGACAGGGCCATGCCCCTCCGGCTCACCTGCTCTGAGGGGCAAGGAAGGGGTGGCTCCTGTCCTCTCCCCGGGGCTCATGCTCTCCCTCAGTTAGAGCCTCCCTGCACCCTATTCCCACCCAGCTGCCCGGGGGCCCGTGTGGGGCTCCCCTCCCGGCACTGGCTGGGAGCTGGACCCGCGCCCCGTCCCCACGGGCAGTGCAGGGGCTGGTGCATCAGACCGCGACGAGGCAGGAATTCGTCAGAGCAGCACTTTCCTGTGCAAACACATCGGGCTTATTATGGCAGGGTGATCAGCGTCGGGACAAAGGGAAGGGACAGAAACATAAAAGGTATTTAATCAACCCGGGCTGCCTGAATGGGCGTGAAAAGCCCGAGGGGAAACCGGAGCTGGCGAGCTATGCAGTCTGCAAATGCCAGCGTGGCACCGTGCCAGGCTCCACGCACCCTCGGCCCCTGGAACGGCTACGCCGCGCACACGCCGGGAGCCAGGAGCCCAGATCCACCCCCAAGGCTGCCCCCCGCCAGCTGGGCACCGCTCCTGGGGTGAAACGATGCTGCTCATGGAAAGGCACCGGGGAGCCCAGCCACCAGCCTGCCGCAGATAGCATGCAGGCATGGCCAGGGAGCTGGTCTGGAGACGGCATCACAGCGAGGGGGATGCTCCGCCTAGGCTTGGCCCAGGCTCCAGGACCCCCAGCCAAAGCTCTGGGGCTCACAGTCTTCAGGCAGGCCAGGATAGGGCTCGTGGACCCCAACCAGGCAGTATGATACCTGTATGGTAGTTCGCGAGGGGCCACAGCCCTGACCACACCAAAGCAACTGTGCTGCAGGGCACTGGCAGCTCCTCTTCTATCTAAACGTGTAACGGGGGCTGCCAGAGTCCCCAAGCCTGTGCTAGGGTGCCTCACACCCCTGACTAGTCCTGAGCACCGCAGCATGCCTGCGGGGTCTGGGCACAGCCAGCTCTGAACGTCCTCAGCTAGACAGGACCGTCCGGCACTGCCCAGCCAGAACGCCCCGCTCCCTCCTGCAAACTGGTCCAGGAGGAAGGCCGTGGCCTTGAATCACCCACGGACATAACGCTGTCCTTTGCATCAAGCAGGGGTCATGGCTGCGAGGGCCAAGAGCATGTTTCACGTCTCCAGAGCCAAGCGCAGCATGAAGTGGAGGGCAGCACGGCCCACGCTGGCCATACCCCCAGCCCGGGCACCGAGGGGGCAGTCGGGGACACAGCTCTGCCACGAGGCGTCACCAAGCCCCAGAGCCTAGCAGGATGGTCGTATGGGCTGGCTGTCCAGAGCCAGCCACCAATAAACCCCACGAGACCAGGTTTCCCCCAGCTGGGTTGCTCCACACCCCTCCCCAAGGGTCCCTATCTGGCTGGCTGGCAGGGATGCACTTGAGCTGGTCCACACGGGGCAGAGGGCTTCTGACACGAGACCTCGCTCCCAGCCCCCAGTTGGCATCAGACACAGGCGCATTCATCCCTGAAGAGTAGAAAGAGCAAAACCCCTCGTGACCTTGCCTGCCGCAAGGAGGGAATGCATCCAAGGCTTTGGCTTCCTCCTGGTGCCGTGGAGCCTTCCCCGCCAGCTGCAGCCAGCAGCACCTCCAGCCCCGGCCTCTCCTCCCCCTCATGCAATCTGTGGGAAAGCAGCTGGAGCCCCCGCGCCCTGGCACAGCCCGCTCTGGAGCCCCCCGGCCCACTGCCCCAAGGGGGAGCGTCTGAATAGCGGCCCTGCCCTGCCGGCTATGTCACCACCCGGCGCTTCGAGGCATCTGGCCCCTGCCAGCCCAATACGCGCCCAGCCTGCTGGGTTGTCCGCAGTGAGGCCTGGCATTTAATGCGATGAGGCAAGGGGTCGGGTCCAGCCTGACCTCCCACCGAACGGGGCATCTGCCCCATTGCAGCAGGCCCCAGATAAGAGGCTGGCAGCAGCACTGACCCCCTGGGTAGAGAGATCCCAGTGCTGGGCACCTGGCCCGGCCTGGCCACTCCACACTTCCCAGGGGCTCTGATATGGGTCCCAGGGGTCAGACGCTACTTGGGGCCATGGGAGATCTGGATTCGAATCCTGCTCCACCACAGGCACTGGGCGAGCAACTCAGCTTGGCTATGGCAGCCCACCACTGACATAACCCATCAAAGCTGATGAGGACCGGCGAGGGCACGGGAAAGAGAAGGCTAATTAGCTACCCAGGGCCGGGAGGAGGGCCGGCTGGGGACTTTGGGCATGATCAGCGGGGACAGCGTGACCCCCTCCGGCACTACGGGCTGGGGTGTGGCTTTGGTTGGGGGTAGCCCCCGAGGAGCTGGTGGCTGGGACAAGGGTGTCTTAGGTGCCACTGGTTGGGGGGATGGGTCCTGCAAATGCTATTGATTGGTGAAATAACCTCGAGTGCTATTGGCTGGGGGTGTGGGTCCCTGAGACACTATTGGTCGGTGCCATAACCTCTACGGTGCTTTTGGTTGGTGGTGTACGATGCTATTGGTTGGTGACAACCTCTAGGGTGCTATTGGTTGGGGGTATAGGTCCCTCAAATGCTATTGGTTGGTGACAAACTCTTGGGTGCTATTGATTGGGGTTGTGGGTCCCTCGCATGCTACTGGTCGGTGAAGGGTCCCTTGGGTGCCAGGGGTTGGATACCCCCTTAGTGTTATTGGCTCGGGCACGGCCCCCAGAGCACGGCGAGCTGCAAGACGCGGTGCTGCAGGCTGGAGCCATGGCCTCTCAGGCACCGTGCAGCGCCCGGGGGTGGCGGCACGCCTCGTCTGCCCTGTGCCCCCGCCTGTCCTTTCCCAGACGGCTAGGAGCCGAGGTCCCGCGCAGCCCGGCTGGGGCGCGACCAGGCTCAGGCCCCCGGCACCTCCCCCACTGCCCCCGACAGCGAGGAGATGTGGGGTGGTGGGAAGAGGCTGCATCTCCAGGCCCCGCATGGGCAGCCGGCAGCCCCTCTCCCTCCCAGCGCCTCCCACCTGCGCACCAGAGTGGGGAAAAACCCAGGAGCCGCTTGAGACAAAGAATGACATCATGCAGCCACCAGCGGCCGGAAAATACAGCTCCGCTCGAGCCGGCTGGGGGTACCAGCCAGCCGGGCTGGGCCGGGCCGCGCTCCCACCCCAGGGGCCCTATCAGTCCCGGCTCCTTCCCCTGTCTGCACCGGGCGCTGACTCACACGCTAATGAGCCCGGCTGAGTTTGCAATCAGGGATGCCGTCTGCCTAGCACCCCTTCCACCACGCAGGGCCTGGCTGAGTGGATGTCATTCCTCCCAGGCTTCAAAGAGCAGCAAAATAACAGAGGCCTCTTGCTTCTGCTGCAGTTCAGGCTGGGGGGATCCGGTGGAAGCCGTGCAATGAGCCAGGGGTGATGGGAGTGATGGTACTGATGGCCAGGGAGCCCTGGTGCAGAGCCTGGCATACCACGGGGCCGAGATGCAGCCAGGGGGCAAGAGTTGATAGCGATAGGGCCGTGCAGAAGGGACAGCTAATAGTGATAAGGATCCCAGAGAAGGGCCTAAGCGGAGGCAGCTCATGGCTGGAAAACGCCCCCCAGCACGAGCCGGACCCTCCTGCCCTGGCGCTGCACCGCTCCCCTGGCAGCAGGCACAAAGGAGCTGTACGGGCTGGGGCGCGGGCTGGCCCGCAGCCACGGGCAGACGCGC